ATTTTCCATACACACCATCTTTAAACAGACCCATGATCAGGAGAATGAGGGTACAGAAGAAGACGTTATGCTAACTTTAAATGATGAGAAGCTAGCATTAACCAGGCGGAGGAGGCTAACGGCAGCGCAGTTCTGACAGAAAAGGAGAGAGAGAGGGAGAGAGAGAGAAAGGCCCAGAAGAGGAGAAAGACGGGAGAGAAGAGGTATAGTGTGTGTGATTTCGGATACTTTTAGGTTTATAATCAAGTCTTCATCACGAGAAGAGAAAATACAGGGAGAGACAGTAAATCAGTGTTTGTATTATGAAAGACTCAGATTCATAGAACTCAGATTTATAGAACTGGATTGGAGAAGCATTGTGCGTTATATGCCATAGCAATAATAAGCTTTAAGTTTGTAAAAGCAATACATTAAAATACCCTTAAAAAAAAAAAAGAAAAAAAAAATATATATATAAATATATATATATATATATATATATATATATATATATATATATATATATATATATATATATATATGTTTTATTAGTATTTTTATTCAATGCTTTGAAAAATAAGTTAAATCTTTGTAGACTATAAATACATATGTACTATATATCATTTATTTAAATATGTGGGCAACAAATTATAGATTAATTTTATTTAAAAATTATTATATTATTCTTATTTTATTAATTCAACTATAGGGGTGCGGCCAGGTAGGGGGCCTTACAAGACAATGTGCCCAGGGGCCCCTGAGTTCTTAATCCGGGCCTGTTTATGAACCATATGAAAAATATGAAAATGAACCAATGTTCAATGCCCAGCTCAGGTATCCAAAATACTGTGTATTTTACTGTAAATAACTTGTACTGTGGAATAAAAAGTAAAGTGATGCATATGTGAATAAAATATAGATTCTACACTTTCAAACGAAACCACTTACGGGGGTCTGGTGCAATGCAGCCCTTTAAATCTGAAAGCGAAAGTCGATGACATCACAGACCCGGTACCGGGTGCACATAGTATGAGAGGTTAGAGAAGAAACTACAAGAAATTTACAGTCTAAGGCAAAATGATATACCTTTCTGTGCAATATTTATTCTTCTTCAAATATTTCCCAGATGATGTTGAACAGATTCAGGAATTTTTCACAGTATTTCCTATATTACTTTTTCTTCTGGAGAAAGTCTGATTTGTTTTATTTGGGCTAGAATAAAAGCAGTTTTTAATAGTTTTAAACCCATTTTAAGGTCAATATTATTGGCCCCTTCAGCAATATTAGTGTTGGATTGTCTCCAGAACAAACCACTGTTATACAATGACTTGCCTAATTACCCTAACTTTACCCTAATTACCCTAGTGAAGCCTTTACATGTCACTGTAAGCTGTATAGAAGTGTCTTGAAGAATATCTAGACTAATATTATGTGCTGTCATCATGACAAAGAGGAAATAAATCAGTCATTAGAGATAAGTTATTAACACTATTATGATTAGAAATGTGCTGAAAATCACAGAGATTGCAGAAAAGAAATGTAAAAGATTTAAAATGGTCTTAATTCTGACTTTAACTGTATATTTCCAGTACGTTGCAGCTCTTCTTCTCTCGATCTGCTGTATTGTGTAACTCCAGCAGGCTGAGCTATAATTATCCGTTCAGGAATGACATCAGACGCGATCATGACTGTCTCCAGTGAGTCCAGAACGCAGGTCTTTCTGAAAATAGCAGTAAAGACAGCGGCTGCTCCACATTCAGCTCCGCGGAGAATATCAGCAATATAAAGCGCATCAAACACCTGCGCTGAGAGCTCATTACACTGATCTGAGGCCAGTGATGAGAAACACAGAGCTCAGTGTTCAGAATGACAGCATTCATTACTAGTACAACTCTGGAATATGCTTATATATCAGTGTATTAGTATAAACAATAATAGTAATAATTCAATCGCAAAAAAATCACGATTAATCGCATCCAACATTAAAGTTTTTTTTACATAATATGTGTGTTTGTACTGTGTATATTTATTATGTATGTATGTATGTATGTATGTATGTATGTATGTATGTATGTATGTATGTATGTATGTATGTATATGTGTGTGTGTATATATATATATATATATATATATATATAAAAATACATATATAAATACATATATAAATACATATATGCATATATTTGATTGTCACAATTTATGTGTGCACATGTTGAAAATGCAACACTTGACGATATCAGAGTTGACAGTAACAGTCTCAGAGTTGCTGGTTTCAGAGTCGTCGGTCTCAGAGTTGATCGTAGCAGAGTTGACGGTTGCAGAGTTGAGGGTATCAGAGTTGACCATAACAGAGTCGCTGGTAGCAGAGTTGATGGTAGCAGATATGACGGTTGCAGAGTTGACCGTAGCATAGTCGCTGGTAGCTGAGTTGATGGTAACTGTTTTAGAGTTGCCGGTAGCTGAGTTGACCGTAGCAGAGTTGATGGTCACAGAGTTGACAGTAACGGTCTCAGAGTTGACTGTCTCAGAGTTGATGGTCACATAGTTGAGGGTATCAGAGTTGACCGTAGCATATTTGATGGTAGCAAAGTTGACTGTAGCAGAGTTGGCTGTCTCAGAGTCAACGGTAGCAAAGTTGATGTTAACCATCTCAGAGTTGATGGTAACAGAGTCGACGGTAGCATAGTCGATGGTTGCAGAGTTGACAGTAACCATCTCAGAGTCTATGGTTAGCAGAGTCGACGGTAACAAAGTTGACGGTAAACATCTCAGATTTGACGGTAGCATAGTCGATGGTAGCAGAGTAGACGGTAACCATCTCAGAGTTGAAGGTCACAGAGTTGATGGTATCAGAGCTGACAGGTAGCAGAGTCTATAGTAGCATAGTTGATGGTAGTGTAATGGATGTCCTTCTGCGTTGTGTTTGTTGGTTTAAATGAAAGGATCCATACAGCAATGTGGTCGAACTTGAGTTTATTCTTGTCTCTTTGTATCATAAAGCATATAACAGACATCAGTCCAACATATCCTCACAGCACAGCAATGTCTGTTGATCAGTACACAATTTTTCGACTCATTTGTTCTCATTTTTACAGGAAAATGCAGATATGCTACATAAACCTTTTCAAAAATAAATGTAAAGTGTCAACCCGATTTAATTTAAAGCCCTAAATCACATTTTACATACATAATTTATATGTAATGAAAGTAAAGAAACAAAATAATAAACATATACAGAATTTAATTTGGACTAGCCGTTGTGCTCATTAAACTTAACTTATATGAAACGCTCCACACTCAATTATGATCCAAATCTGTTTCCCTCACAATAATGATACAATAGTTAACCTTACTGAAGATACTGAATAATCTAAACATCCATATCAATGTAATAATATAGGCATTTATAAGAGGAGCCGAAAAACGCACCTGTCTGTCGGACGCCGTCTCACAAAGTGAGCGCGCACCGGAAACTACGTCAGCTATTATCTCGCGCCTACATGGTCATACTCACTTATAAATACCTATATTATTTTTCACATGGATGGAAAGAGAACACTATTGAAACTTTAAACACTGAAATAAGAAGAATGCAAAATATTGAAGTAAAAGGAAAGTAATTAATTGTTTGTCATGTCTATTTCCTTTAAACCGCCTTTCAAAATAAAATACCCTTCCGATAATAAAAAAAGGAACCAATAATCTAGTGCAACAACACACACACGCCAAAGTAGCACAGTTGATGGTAACCATCTTAGAGTCGACGGAAGCATAGTCGATGGTAGCAGAGTTGATGGTAGCATAGTTGACGGTAGCAGAGTCGACAGTAGCATAGTTGACGGTAACCGTCTCAGAGTTGACGGTCTAGATTTGACGGTAGCAGAGTCGACAGTAGCATAGTTGACGGTAACAAAATTGAAGGTAGCAGATTTGACGGTAGCAGAGTCGACAATAGTATAGTCGATGGTAGCATAGTTGACGGTAACAAAATTGAAGGTAGCAGATTTGACGGTAGCAGAGTTGACAATAGTATAGTCGATGGTAGCATAGTTGACGGTAACCGTCTCAGAGTTGACGGTCTTAGATTTGACGGTAGCAGAGTTGATAGTATCGGAGTTGACGGTAACGGAATTGAAGGTAGCAGATTTGACGGTCTCAGAGTTGATGGTAGTAGAGTTGACAGTAGCAGGGTTGACGGTGTTGTCGATAAAAGATTGTGGTTTGCAGTTTCCAAGTCAAAGTTCTCAAAAAATAACAAAGTCTGAGATCTCGAAGTCTTTATGCAAAGCAGTTTATTGTTACAGCATCAGTAACAGCAGAGACGGGTCGTTCGAGTGTCTAATGAGTATAGGCTAGCTCACAGGTTAAATACACTTGTTTTGTCGTATCACTCCACCCAAATTCAAACATTAACTCTCCTCCATTAGTTCCCACACTGTACCTTCAGCTGTCAACGGTAAGCTTCAGCTGAAGTTCATGGGCATTTTTAGGCTCTTCATATTTTGGGAGTCATTGCAACTGAGCGGGGACGCATGTCTGAGATAGATACATAATAATGATACTGAAATCACTCAAATAAGCAAATAAATAAGAGAAATACATTCATCAGAAATTCATCAAGACACAATGAACTCCCCATCAGCAGTAGCAGAGTTGATGACATTACAGCTGACAACATCAGAGCTCAATCCATTCAACCATTGAAACCATCAGAAAAGATAGCATTGGTCAATCCTGAACGTTTAACACAAATGAATGAGAGAAGAGTCATGACACGCCTCAGTGCCTTCCAGAGTTTTCCGCCACAGGAAGTGACATCACTTGCAGCAGGTCACATGCTTTTTCTATAAGTGCTTTACATATTGTTCCGCAATTTTATAACCGATTCACCAGAGTGGACGAGGATGCAGAGACACACACAACATGTACTATAATGGCAGATACTGCAGTAAATAGATGCTTCCTGCAAATCTTCTCTAGTGGAGTGTTTCTGTAATGTTCTGTCCTCTGGTGTTTTTCAGAGGGGCTTTCTCCGTGGTGCGCCGATGTGCGAAACTCAGCACGGGTCAGGAATACGCCTCCAAAATCATCAACACCAAGAAGCTCTCAGCTCGAGGTAAATCCACTGATCAGTGATGTGTGGATGTCTGACAGATTGATCTATTCACTCTGAAAGAGCTTGAAATAAGGGTTTGCAGCACTAACATCAGTGTAAGCAGCTGGAGAAAACTGAGAATCAGTCTAGAGCACAGGTGTCAAACTCAGTTCCTGGAGGGCCGCAGCTCTGCACAGTTTAGTTCAACCCTAATTAAACACACCTGATCAAACTAGTTGAGTCCTTCAGGCTTGTTTGAAACCTGCAGGTAAGTGTGTTGGAGCAGGGTTGGTACTAAACTGTGCAGGGCTGCGGCCCTCCAGGAATTGAGTTTGACACCCCTGGTCTAGAGGAAGACGTGTGTCCTCATTGGCTGACCTGAGTGTCAGTCACCCAGCCGTGGCTCCGCCTCCTCACGCTGGCTCTTTTAAGTCTTGGAGCGCTGCTTCTGCTTCTGCTGCTTCTGCTTCTGTTGTGTTCATCCAGCTCAGTGTTGAGGCGCGACCACACACACTCAGAGCTGTCAGATGTGGTGAACTCTGCTGCAGTCAGCTTTTCCACTTCAGCACATCACATAGTGTCAAACCAAGACCCCCTGTGTGTGTGTGTGTGTGTACTTGTGTCTGTGTTTGTTTTTGTGTTTATGTGTATGCAATATGCATGTTTATGTCTGTGTGTGTCTCTCTCTCTCTCTGTGTGTGTGTGTATGTGTGTGTGTGTGTGTGTGTGTGTGTGTGTGTGTGTGTGTGTACTTGTGTCTGTGTTTGTTTTTGTGTATATGTGTATGCATGTTTATGTCTGTGTGTGTGTCTCTCTCTGTGTGTGTGTGTGTGTGTGTGTGTGTGTACTTGTGTCTGTGTTTGTTTTTGTGTATATGTGTATGCATGTTTATGTCTGTGTGTGTGTCTCTCTCTGTGTGTGTGAGTGTGTGTGTTGTGTTGTGCTGTGCTCTTGGCATGATGGCTGTTCAGACTTGCCGTCTGGTGTGAGCACACATGATGAGCGCCAGATGATTCCACAAAAAAAACACATACACACACACACACACACACACACACACACACACACACACTTATACACAAATGCAATAATATACCTAAGCACACATACACACATTGATGCACACACTTATACATAAATGCAATAATATACCTAAGCACATACACACACACACACACGCACACACACATGTTTGTTTTTGTGAAAAGTGGGGACATTACATAGGTTTCCATTCATTTTATACTGTTCAAACTGTATATTGTATTGCCCTCACCCCACCCCACCCCTAAACCCAACCATCACAGGAGACTGTGTGCAGCTTTACTCTCTGATTAAACTCATTCAGTGTGATTTATAAGCATTTTGAGAAATGAGGACGTCACCAATGTCCTCATATTTCACCTCCTTTTTGTAATACCTGTGTCATACCCATGTCATTATACAGATTTGTGTCCTGATATGTCACAAAAACACGTACATTGATACACACACTTGCAAACAAATGTACACACACATTTATACACAAATACAATAATATACCTACGCGCGCACACACACACACACATTGATGCACACACTTATACATAAAAACAATAATACACTCAAGCACGTACACACGCACACATTGATACACACACTTACAAACAAATGCACGCACACTTATACACAAACGCAATAATATACCCAAGCACGCATTCACAGTACACACACACACACACACACACTCTGGTGAAGTAGTCGTGTGAGCGTATTGTGTGAACCTGTGAGAATGAATCCTGACACCCAAACGCCTCTGCAGCAAAAACCATCAGAGCCAAAGACACACACACTCGCACACACTTACTCGCTCACTGACTCGTTCACTCACACACACTTTTTATGTGTGTGTGCTTGCTGGAATGTGTGATTGTACATGAGTGAGTGTATATGTGCATTAATGTGTGTCAGTGTGTGTGTGTGTGTGTGTGTGTCCATCATGTGCTGCTGTGCTCGACCTTTGCTGCTGACTGAACTGTAGAGCAGAAGGACTTCAATCACTGGTTTCCCTCAGATCTCAGATCAGCAGAAGTGTAAACTGTTTGTTTTTGCATCTGTTTGTGTTTTTTGTGTGTGCGCCTGTGTGCGCGTGTTTGTTTGTGTATTTGTGTGTTTGTGTGTGTGTTTATTTGTGTGCATGTTTGTGTGTGCATCTGCGTTTGTGTGTGTTTGTTTGTGTTTGTGTGCGTGTGTGAGTTTTGTGTATGTGTGCATCTGTGTTTGTTTGTTTGTGTGTGTGTGTGTGTGTGTGTGTTTGTGTGTGTATGTGAGTTTTGTTTGTGTATGTGTGTATGTGTTTGTGTGTGCAACTGTGTTTGCGTGTTTGCTCATTTGTGTGCATGTGTGTGTTTATTTGTGTGTGTGTGTGTGTGTGTGTGTGTGAGAGTGTGTCTGAGTGTGTGTGTGTGTGTGTGTGTATGCATCTGCATTTGTGTGTGTTCATTTTTGTGCATATGTGTTTATTTGTGTGGGTGTGTGTTTGTGCGTGTGCATCTGTCTTTATCTATGTTTATGTGTGTGCAACTGTGTTTGTGTCTTTATTATTATTATTATTATTATTATTATTATTATTATTATTATTATTATTTATCATTGATTCATTTATTGTTTGTTTAATATTTATTTAATGTTTTATTTTTAATTGGTTAATTAAATAATTAATTAGAAATAAAAAATAAATATATTTATTTATGTACTTAATAAATAATATGTATTTATTATATAATGTATTATATTTATTTATATTTATATTTATATTTGTATTTATTATTATTATTATTATTATTATTATTATTATTATTATTATTGTTATTATTATTATTATTATTATTATTATTATTATTATTATTATTATTATTATTATTATTATTATTATTTATGGATTCATTTATTGTTTGTTTAATATTTATTAAAAGTTTTTTTAATTGGTTAATTCAATAATTAATTAAAAATAAATTAATGAGTTTCTTTATTTACTTAATAAATAATATGTATTTGAATGTATTAATTTTATTATTATTATTATTATTATTATTATTATTATTTAATTTTATTTCATTTATTGTTTGTTTATTATTTAATAAATGTTTTTATTTTTAATTGGTTAATTAAATAATTAATTATAAATAAATAAATGAATAAAGTTATTTATTATTTACTTATTGATTGTTTATTGATTGATTTAATTATTTAATTAATTAATTATTAATGATGTTTGATGTGATATTTTTTATTGTTAATTCATTAATTTATTTAAGTATTGTTTGTCATATGTTTATTTATTGATTGAGTATTTAGTTTATTTATTTTCAATTTGTTTAATTTATTTATTTATTGTTTATTTATTTAGTTTACTCATTCAATACATTTTATTATTATTTATTTGTTTGTTTATTTATTAATCATGTATTACAGATTGAATGTTTATTTTTCATTTGTATTTACTGTGCAATTTTTATATTATATAGTATAGAATGTAATTAAAGGATGTTGAACTGTTTCATCAGACCACCAGAAGCTGGAGCGTGAGGCGCGGATCTGCCGTCTGCTAAAACACTCCAACATCGGTGAGTGTGTGTGTGTTTGAGTGTGTGTGTGTGTGTGTGTGTGTGTGTTTGTGTGTGTTGTCTGCATTAGTGTCAGTAATGATGATGTGTTTCTTTCTCCAGTGCGCCTCCATGACAGTATATCAGAGGAGGGCTTCCACTACCTGCTGTTTGACCTGTGAGTGATTTAATATTCTGCTTTATTGATTTATTCAATGATTAGCCCTCCTGAATATTTTTTTGCCCCAATTTCTGTTTCACAGTGAGCAGATTTTATCAGCAAATTTGTAAACATAATAGTTTCAATAACTCATTTCTGATTGCTGATTTATTTTCCCTTGAGCTGTAGAGAAATCTGTTTTTTTAAACTAGTGAAGACAGCAGAAGGCAATAATGTATATGAATCCATAATGAATCCATAAATAATAATACTACTAATAATAATAATAAAAACAATAATAATAATAATAATAATGATAATAATAAATATAAATAATAATAATAATAATAATAATAATAGTAATAATAATAATAATAATAATAATAATAAATAATAATAATAATAATAATAATAATAATAATACAAATACATAAAATAAATAAATATAATTGATACATTAAAATACATATTATTTATTAAATAGATAAATAAATAAATAAATAAATAAATAAATAATAAAACAAATGTATTTATTTATTTATTTATTTATTTATAATGAATTATTTAATTAACTAATTAAAAATATTTTTAATATTAAATAAACAATAAATGAATCAATAATAATAATAATAATAATAATAATAATAATAATAATAATATTAAATATGAATAAATAATATAACTAATACATTAAAATACATTTATTAAAAAAGTAAATAAATAAATTAAATTTATTTATTTATAATTAATTATTTAATTAACCAGTTTAAAATAAAAAACATTCATTAAATTTTATATGACTTCATAATATCTATATGCCTGATCTGCTTTTTATATTGATGGACAATGCTCAGATATTGATGTCTCACAGTGTTTTGCTCAGTTCTACTTGCAGTACACCACAATATCTGAATTGATCATATTTTAATAGTATTTGCATTTTGCACATGGCATGTAATGATAGCGGGTGCACAAGGGAAATATGTTTTATCTACTTTACTTTAATGTTTACACCCTTCAAAAAACTGTATCAGAATGTTTTGCACTGCACATTTTACACTAACTACATTATTTGAATCTAACAAGCTTAGTTTACAATGTTTACACTGCTCTACGCACATTACATCTAAATCCCAAATATCAGACATGACAACAGATTGTTCAGATTTAATTAACGTTTTGATTAATGCACTTACTTTACAGATTTCATTCAATCATTTTCCTTCTGCCTTTTCCCTGGTTTATCACAGTGCAATGAACCGCCACTTACTTGGCAGATTTATATACAGTTGAATTCAGAATTATTAGCCCCCTTTTTATTTTATTATTTTTTTTTATATTTCCCAAATTATTTTTAACAGATTGAGGAAATGTTCACAGTATGTCTGATAATATTTTTTCTTCTGGAGAAAGTCTTATTTGTTTTATTTCGGCTAGAATAAAAGCAGTTATTAATTTTTTAAACACCATTTTTGGGACAAAATTATTAACCCCTTTAAGCTTATTTTTTTTTGATAGTCTACAGAACAAACCATCATTATACAATAACTTGCCTAATTACCCTAACCTGTCTAGTTCACCTACTTATCCTAGTGAAGCCTTAAAATGTCACTTTAAGCTGTATAGAAGTGTCTTGAAGAATATCAAGTAAAATATTATTTACTGTCATCATAACAAAGAGAAAATAAATTAGTTATTAGAAATAAATTATTAAAACTATTACGCTTAGAAATGTGCTGAAACAATCTTCCCTCCATTAAACAGAAATTGGGGGAAAAAATAAACAGGGGCGCTAATAATACAGGGGGGCTAATAATTCTGACTTCAACTGTATTTGTAATTTGAGGTGGTGTGTGTGATGTGTTTGGTAAAGTAATTAGCATCTTTAGTGATTTTCAGCTAATTACACTGTCTTGTCCTGATATGTGGATATCCACAATATGTTTTTGCTGTAAAAGCAGACGTGGGTTTAGCTGGTTTTGATGCAAAATAAAATCTCCCTTTGTTAAAAAACAAAGAATTATCTTAAGTGACATTTATGAACAAAATATATTTTATTTACCAGCTAATAACCTCATCATTACATATAAAACGACACTTCTGAACCTGATCAGAGGAGCCTGATAGAAAATGCTCATTTACAAGAAAACAGGTCTGATGGATGCAGAGGGGTTTGCATCTCAACTCTTCAACTGTTTCTTAAAATGAAGTATAATGTGTTCAATAGGGGACAATGTTGTTGCTCAAACATCTAAAAAGAGCTTATTTTAGAGCAGTACTCGCAATACTGTGATGTTCCAAGGTTATCATACAGTCAGAATCTTATAAATGCCTAGGCTAGATGGCATGAGAACAGATACTGTGCTAAAATATAAGAGAGATTTTCAGTGTCTCTCTCTCTCTCACGCCCACTCAGCATCATCTCTCTCTCTCTGATCTGTTGTTTCCATGGAAACACTGGATCCGGGTTTCCCGCCTGAAACCCCAGTGATGCTGCTGTTCTGGAGGATTCCCTCATATCGTCTGTTTCTCTCTCAGCCATATTAACTGAGCTTGCTCAATAAATGCTGCACTCTGTGTTATTTGATGCTGATGTCTTTACAGTGCCATGTAAACATAGAGTTGAGGTCAGAATTATTACCCCCCCTCCATATTTACCCCCGATTTCTCTTTAAAGGAAAGAACACATTTATAATCATAATAGTGTTAATAACTCATCTCTTATAACTGATTTCTTTTCTCTTTGTCATGATGACAGTAAATAATATTCGACTAGATATTCTTCAAGACACTTCTATACAGCTTAAAGTGACATGTGAAGGCTTCACTAGGGTAATTAGGGTAAAGTTAGGGTAATTAGGCAAGTCATTGTATAACAGTGGTTTATTCTGGAGACAATCCAACACTAATATTGCTGAAGGGACTAATAATATTGAGCTTAAAATGGCTTTAAAACTATTAAAAACTGCTTTTATTCTATACGAAATCAGACTTTCTCCAGAAGAACAAATATTAGAGGAAATACTGTGAACAATTCCTGAATCTGTTCAACATCATTTGGGAAATATTAGACAAAGAAAACACAGGAGTGTGAATAATTAATAATAATATATGATAGTGGCGAATCATTATTGATAATAAATAATAGCAGCTCAGTGTTGCTCCAGAATTTCAGGCTGTTTTAGGCTGCTTTGTATCAACTTTACATTGCATTTGAAAGAAAAACTATTAAAGCATAATAAGTATCTCCAATCACTTATATCAATTGCTGTTACATTGGTTTTATTATTGGTTTATTTGAGAATGTTTTATTTATTATGAAAGAAAAACTATTGCACCATACTAAATGACACCACTCATCACATCATCACTTTGTATTAAAATCTATTATTTTATGTAGCTAGTTTAATTTAGTTTTATTTCAATATATTTTAACTTATTTTATTATGAAATATGAATCAGTTCATTAAAATAATAAATAAAACATATACATTCATAATTAATTATAAATGGATTTTTTATTTGTTATATTTATTTATTTATTTTTAAATTGTTTGACATTTTAGTTTAGCAAAATTAGTTTATTAGTTATTTTATTATTATATTTTAATATTATTATTATTATTATTATTATTCTTGTAAAAGTGTTTAGATTTATTTTATTAATATTTAAAAAATGTAATTAATAATATATAATGTTATTTATAAATAATAACTGTAATATTTAATTAATTGTTTAAATTTTTTTTTCAATTTTGTAATTATTTATTAGTGGTACATTTTACATGTTTTTTATGTATTTATTATTTTTATTATTATTATTATTGTCCAGTTTATATCTTAGTGTGTCCATTTCCCTATGGCCTGCCTGTAGAAATATCCTGCTCAGTATGAATCTCAGTATTTGAGGATAAATCGTGAATATAATATCTGTGTTTGTGTTCAGCGTCACAGGTGGAGAGCTGTTTGAAGACATCGTGGCCAGAGAATATTACAGTGAAGCGGACGCCAGGTAAATACGCCTCTACACACACACACACAAACACACACACACACACAAACACTTTCTCTCATTCACACTGTTTTATTTTGCAGCATTTATTTTGTATTGTTTATTAGGCAGACACTTAGAATAACAGTTATTGAGTTATATAATATATAGCAGGCACATGCATACATAAGGGCTTAACCTGTGCATGCCCTTTTTAGTCTTCGATAGAAAGTGCCCATCTAAAATGAACTGTAGTGCTCCCGCTCTTCTGATATTAAATGACAGAAATTTACTTTAAATTAATGACTGTTAAACTGCAGGAATATACAGTAAAATAACAGATATTAAATTACAGGAATTTACTTTAAATTAACGACTATTAAATTACAGGAATTTACCGTAAAATAACAGATATTATATTACAGAAATTTACTTTAAATTAACGACTATTAAATTACAAGAATTTACCGTAAAATAACAGATATTAAATTACAGGAATTTACCGTAAAATAGCAGATATTAAATTACAGGAATTTACCGTAAAATAGCAGATATTAAATTACAGGAATTTACCATAAAATAACAGATATTAAATTACAGGAATTTACAGCAAAATAACAGATATTAAATTACAAAAATGTACTGTAAAATAACAGATATTAACTTAGAGAAATTTACCGCAATATAACAGATATTAAATTACAGAAATTTTCTTTAATTTTAATTTCTGTAAAATTTCTGTAATTTACCATCTGTTATTTTACGGCAAATTTCTGTAATTTAACAGCAGTTATTTTATTTAGCTGGGATGCTGGAAAAAAACATAAAATAACGGCCAATAAATTACAGAAATGTATTATGAATTAACACCATTAAATTACAGAAATTTACCATAAATTTCTCTAATTGACCATCTGTTATTTTACTGTAAAAAAAAAAAAAGTAATTTTACGCTTATGTTTGGGCACCCCAGCTAAAATTGAATTACGGCCGTTATTTTATTTTAGCTGGATGCCGAAACATAAACTTAAAATTACATTTTTTTTACAGTGTAGTTTAAAAACTTTATTATATTATTGATGCATTGTATAATAGATTTTTATTTTTTGATATGATGTATTCATATTTTGAATGACTAATTATTATTTTTTATTATAAAATAATGATTTATTATTAAACTATTATTATATTTGTTTATTATTATTTATATTAAACTTTTATTAAAAAGTATTAATAAGTATTTGTTGATGTTGTTATTATTATTAAAAATGTATTATAAAAACAAGATTTGTTATGTAATGTTTTTAATTGTTGCATTTTATAATATTTTTTTATAAAAGTAAATAGATTTTATATAAACATTTTATTGGTATTTTATCATTTATAACATATGTTAATATTTATTATTGTCTTTATTTTTAATATTACTGCTACTAAAATAATAATAATAAAAACAAAATATTTGTTTCAAAAAGTATGTATTAATAATATTTTTAAATTATTGATCCATTTTATGTAAGACAATAAATTTTATAATGTACAATTTTAATGCATTTCATAATACACAATGTTTAAAACAGTTTTATTATTAATACATTTGTTTATTTTATGATAATACATATTGTAATATTATAAAAAGTATATTGTAATGTTTAATAAATAGTATAATAACATTATATATAGTGTAATATTTTTCTATAATATCACTCTGATTCACTTTGTATTGTTTATTCTTCATTATTAGCTGCAGTATTAGGCTATTGAATACAATCATTTCTGCCTTTGTTCATCAGTGTTTTCTCATAGCCTGATGTTGCATGTGAGTGAGTGTCACAGTGTGTGTGTTTGTGTGTGTTTGTGTGTGTGTGTGTGTGTGTGTTCAGACGGTGTGCTGGAGTGTGTCAGTGTGTGGGCGACAGTCTCTGCTGCAGGTTCTCCTTTCCTCCTGTTTTCCCATCAGCTTCATCTTTTCTCCAGAGCATCTCTTCCTTTTTCCTTTTCCTCAGATTCACACACACACACACACACACACACACACACACACACACACACACACACACACACACACACACACAGTCGCACTCAGGAGAGCAGCTTTAGTCTGTTTGTCTGTGTGGGAGAGTGAGAAACAGAGGGAATGAGAGAGAGTCGCCAAGGGAGAAAACACACACACACACACACACACACACACACAATTCACTGTCACTGAGTCTGATATGTGCATTAACATTCTTCTTTAGCCCACACAAACACACACACTGTCACAACCACATATTTACACGCGCACACACACACACACACACACACACACCAACTAACCAACATACGCGCATATTTACACACACATACATACACAACTAACTCAAACACACACACAGGTAACGCACATACACACACACACACACACACACATGCACTAACTGGCTCAAACACACACACACACACCTGCACACCTGCACACACCCACACATGTACACACATTGAAGCCCATTTCCCACATGGTTTGAGAAGTGTGAGTGCTCTGAATCGGGCTCAGGTGTGGTTCAGTTGGCCCGGTTGGAAGAGTTGTGAGGGTGCGGTTCTGTTGGGCTTTGGCGTGGTGTACTTATAGTGTGAGTGTAAAGTGTGTCTGAGCCCGAAACTGAAGATGCGCCGTCACTTTAAGGGACTGTTTGATCTGGAGTTTTTAGTCATTCATTTCAGTCACAAGAGCACTTCGGCATGGTTCAAGACAACCGTGCTAGTGTGAGTACACCCTAAGAGCTTAGTTTTTCATGCGGGTGCAGATCCAAATGCAGGTTTATTAAGAACGGTCCAGCAAGCAACGGCCACAATCAGCAAACCGATGTATACAGGCAAATCCAGAGTCGTGGTCAAAAACACTGGCGGTTGGCAGGGCCAGACAGAATCTGCAGACATTTTCAGCTATTTCTGCGCAAAGTTTTGTAAAAAATCTGGGGATTTATACGGAATATTTTTTGGGAGTATCGTAACTAAAAACTTATTATATGAAATAATAAATAATACATTTACTAAATTTAATTTTTCTAATGCAAATCCAATTGGATGCACTTAATTGGCAAATCTCTCGTATAATGGTAACGACGGGGAGTGACACCAACAACAGAAGGTAGGATCCAAATGCAGGTTTAATCGTAGTCAGGCAAGCAATGGTCAATACAGGTGTAAACAGATGTATGAGGGCAATCCAGAGTCGAAGTCAAAATAACAGGCAGATGGTCAGAGGCAGGCAGCAAACAGAATTAAATAAATAAACAAGGCATGGATCAAAACACGGCAAAGGCAGACAAAGGAAACGCGTTGTAATGTCACTATCAGTAAACAAGACTCGGCAAACTGGATGGGTTCATGAGTGGCTTATAAGTGGTGAGATATGACAAGGTTCAGGTGGTGACTGCAATCAAGTTAGATGAATGAGCATGGGTGTCAGGGAGAAGTGCATGTATGAAAATGTAGTCCAGGAAAAGGCGGAAGTGTAGTTCTAAGTGTGTGTTTACCAGCAACATCTGGTGGTTGTTCGCTGGTGAACATGACAATAATATATCTGCTAAAAGACAGAACACACAGTTGAAGTCAGAATTATTCGCCCCCCTGTTTGTTTTTTACCCGTTTTCTGCTTAACGGAGAAAATATTTATTCAGCACATCTCTAATCATAACAGTGTTAATAACTCATCTCTAATAACTGATTTATTTTCTCTTTGTCATGATGACAGTAAATAATATTAGACTAGATATTCTTCTATACAGCTTAAGGTGACATTTAAAGGCTTCACTAGGTTATTTAGGGTAATTAGGCAGGTTATTACGTATCGATAGTTTGTTCTGTAGACTATCAGAAAATATATAGCTTAAAGGGGCTAATCAATTTGTCCTTAAAATGGTGTTTAAAAAATGAAAAACTGCTTTTATTCTAGCCGAAATAAAACAAACAAGACTTTCTCCAGAAGAATAAATATTATCAGACATACTGTGAACATTTCCTCAATCTGTTCAACATCATTTGGGAAATATTTAAAAAAGAGAAAAAAATTCAAAGGGGGGTGAATAAATCTGACTTCAACTGTATATATTTACAAACTGTATTGTAAAATAAATCACATAAACATTTTCATATTTGTTAATAATGTCACTGAAATTACTTTAAAAACTGAATTAGTATAAATTTACACACATTTACACAAGTAAATGAACAGACTCGATGAGGAGCTACAAATCTGCAGATTTCTGCGCACGCAGATTCTGTGTGGGCCTGGCGATGGGTCAGTACAGGCAGGCAGCAGACAACGTAAACAAACAAACAAGGCGAAGGTCAAAAACTGCAAATCAAGGCAAGGAAAACATGTCGTGATGTTCACAATACTGTTTACAAGACTCAGCACTGGTGTGTGTGTGTGTGTGTGTGTGTGTGTGTGTGTGTGTGTGTGTGTGTGTGTGTGTGTAATCACCGGAACTCGGGACAGGTGCGTGTGAGCGGTGCATGACTGCAACTTCTAGTCCATGTAATGGCTGATTTGTAGTCCGTTGCAATCCACATGTTCACCAGCAATCTGCAGTTGCTCGATTGCTGGTGATCATAACATGCAAACACACACACACACACACACACACACTGCCAGGGCTGGACTGGGGCAAAAAATCGGCCCTGGCATTTTGGGCCAGAGCGGCCCACTAAATTCAATCAAAATGCTATCTATCTATGCACGTCCAATATTTTTATGAACTCAAATTCTATAAAACACAAAAGCCATATATATGAAATAAATAAATAAATACAAACTGTAATCTCAATTTAATTTCTGTTTACTGTCCATAAAGATATTTGTTGAGTTCTAAAAAATACACTATTCATTCATTCATTCATTTTTCTTCGCATAAGTCCCTTATTTATCAGGGGTTGCCGCAGTAGAATGAACTGCCAACTATTCCAGCATGTTTTATGCAGCAGATGCCTTTCCAGCCACAACCCAATATTGGAAATCACCCATACACACTCATTCACACACACTCATACACTACGGCCAATTTAGCTTATTCAATACACTCTTCACTCAGCCTATATTCAATAATAAACATCACAAAAACTGCCTGCTGATGCATGGGTAAATCTTCAAAGGAAACAGTATTACATTTTAACCTCTTTCACCTCATCCTGCTTGCTGTTTCACCATCTAAACAATGAAGACATAATATAAGTCAAATTTGTTTCATTTTGATATTATGATTAACAGACACCAAACAGCCTCATGTAGCTGCATATTTATATGAGCATCATCTTCACTTTGCATATTTATAACAATTCAGGGCTTAAATATAACTGTCTTCTTTCATTTCCATTGAAAAGAATGAACTTTACCCCGTCTCTTTTGCAGAATATCAGTTTTAATAATCAATAATGTCCATTATAACAGTATACTTACATTAAATTTAAACGATAAAGGTAAGCAATCAGTCAATGTGCAGAATCAGTGTATGTGGTTACATAAATTAATATATTAGCTTATCTTTGCACTCAGCCAAAACAGTAACAGAACAAGTGATTCAAAAGACATAAGAGTTGTTAGATAGAGACAACAAGATGAATTCAATATCACGTTTAACAACTATAGTGAGATCAGATCCAGCAGATGAACTGTCTGACATGCACTATACTCTCACCTGGGGTTTATGCTCACCCGCTGAACTACTGGCTGCAGCTCTTGGCAGAGAGTGTGTGTGTGTGTGTGTGTGGTCACGTGATTTGCGCTTTTAGCCGTGTACCAGAATGAACGGAGAACTTTTCAGAATCGCTAAATGAAACGCCGGTGTATTTCCCGCGATTTCTCTGCGCCTCCCTTGCGTTTCTTCTCTTTGACTCTCGACAAATACACACAGACGACGCACGCTCACACCGAGTCCAAAATAGGAGTTTGTGATTGGGCCAGCCAAATGTCAGTAAAGAAAAGAACCAATGGGCTGCAAAGTGTCAAATGGGCCGGCCCGGTCTGTCTGTCCGGGAAAAAAAGCATCTTACTTATAGATAGTCACAGATCACAGAAGCGTCAATTAATAAGGCAGAAAAAAACGATAGGCTGCAAAGCCTTTTATGGGCCGATCAGATCATAAGACGATGATCAGCCCGGCCCAAAAAGTACGTCGGCCCACCGGGAAAGTGCCCGGTTTGCCAGATGGCCAGTCCGCCGCTGCACACTGGATAATTGAAGAATCCTAGAGTCCTGAAGTAGAAGAACTAGAAAACGGCATATTGTATGTTCTAGTTTTACAGCAAACACTCACACACACACACACACACACACACACACACACACACAGAGTGTCAGTAAATCAGCAGTACACACCCACACACACTGACTCACACGTCCACCTCTCTCTCTCAGACACACTCACACACACACACACACACACACACACACACACACACACACACACACACACACACACACACACACACACACACACACACACACCACTGTCAGAGAGTATATTCAGTCCACAATCAGGGCTGTTGTAGGGCCTCATGCCAGCCTCTTTCTCTCTGTCTTTCTGTCTCTTTCTCTCGCAATTCTATTCAATACAAAGTTGTGTTTTGGCACGACTGTAAGAATACAATATTGTCCAAATAAGCTGAAATATGTGGTTTATATTATATCGAATTATAGTTAAAGTCAGAATTATTCTCCCTTCTGTTAAATTTTTATGTATTTATTTTTTCTTTTTCCAGTTTTTCCCAAATGATGTTGAACAGATTCAGGAATTCTTCTGGAGAGAGTCTCATTTGTTTTATTTGGGCTAGAATAACAGCAGTGTTTAATTGTTGTAAAGCCATTTTAAGCTCAATATTATTGGCCCCTTCAGCAATATTAGTGTTGGATTGTCTCCAGAACAAACCACTGTTATACAATGACTTGCCTAATTACCCTAACTTTACCCTAATTACCCTAGTGAAGCCTTTACATGTCACTGTAAGCTGAACACTAGTGTCTTGAAGAATATCTAGTCTAATATTATGTGCTGTCATCATGGAGAAGAGAGAAGAAATCAGTTATTAAAGATGAGTTATTAAACTGTTATGATTAGAAATGTGCTGAAAACATCTTTCCTTTAAGCAGAAATTGGGGAAAAATAAACAGCAGGGTGAATAATTCTGACTTTAACTGTGAATGCTTTGTTATGATCATTTGTAATGCTAATTAATGTGAGATGCGCTATTCAAATAAGCTTGAATTGAATATATTGTCTCTCTCTGTGGGCGGTGAGATGCAGATGATCTTCTTGTGCCACTCAGTCTTCAGTGGGCAGGAGACGCGTCGTGTCTGAGCTCAAAACACAGACAAAATATCAACAAGCAGATTTTATTTCATCCAGTTGATTATACTTGTAAAACTGACCCTTCAGTTTTCTCTGCAGAGAAGATTCATTAATTTTAACCCAATTTAATTTAATTTAATTTAATTTAATTTAATAATTCAATTTAATTTAATGTATTACTTTATTTCCCTTAATTTTATTTTATTTTTTTTTATTTTTTTATTTTTCATTTTATTGTAATTTTATTTATTTAACTGTTTTATCTTATTTTATTTAGTTTTTATTTTATTTTATTTTACTTTAATTATTTAATTTAATCAATTTATTTAGCTTTATTTTTTATTTCACTTCAATTTAATTTAATTAAGTTTAATTTTAATTAACTTTATTCTTTATTATTTTGATTTATTTCACTTTTAATTTAAGTAATTTTTTTATTTTATTTTAATTCATTTAAAATATGTATTTACATTTGAATGTGTATTTATTTACATAATTTTTAAAATAAATCATAAAATCATTGAATATATTTTGAAAACACTATTTAAAATGAATAATATTTTAACCAATATAAAAAAATAATGAATGTTTTAAAATCATGACACATTTATAAATAAAATGAAAATGTTAATATATTATGACCCCGAATCAGTCAAATCATTAATTTATTACTATTATTATTATTATTTATTTAATTTGATCATTTATTTATTATTAAAATTGCATTTAAATGTTTTTATTTTCAGTATTATAAAAAACGCATCAAATGTATTTAATGTATATTATTTCATACATGCTTAAATACATAAACAATATTTTAAATACTAAAATCTATTTATTATAATAATAGATAATATAATGTTTATAATATATATAAAATAAAAAAATCTGAAATAAGCCAATTAGTTTATTATGTATGTATAAATGTTTGAATTAATTAATTAAAGTTACCTGGGCATAATTTAATCTGTGGATGATATCATTTGTTGTGTGTGTGTGTGTGTGTGTGTGTGTGTGTGCGTGCGTGTGTGTGTGTGTGTGTGTGTGTGTGTGTGTGTGTGTGTGTGTGTTTGTGTGTGTGTGTGTGTGTGTGTGTGTGCACGCACGCTCGGACTAACCTGCACCCCCTGCTGTTTGCATGCAGTCATTGCATCCAGCAGATCCTGGAGGCGGTGCTTCACTGCCATCAGATGGGCGTGGTCCACCGAGACCTCAAGGTGAGTGACAGATCCATCGAGGATTATTATTCATAAGGAGGTGTGGCTTCAAGCTCTGGAGATTCTGCATTGTGTTATGCATGCATCCATGGATGTGTGTGTGTGTGTGTGTGTGTGTGTGTCTGGCCTGTAACTGATCTTATATTGTTGCTTATTGATTGTGATTACAGTGTGAGGTAAGTGGGTGAGTTGTGAGTGTGTGTGCGTGTTTTCTGGATGTGGCTGGAGGTCATGAGTGTTTCACACATCCTACAGATTCTCAAGCAGAACTCTTCAAATCAACAGTCGAGACGCAGACATGCCGTCAGAGATGCATAAGAGAGATACAAAAAGATCCAGCAGATGGAGCGTTAACACACACACACACACACACACATGCACACATATACACATATGCATATATGACTGTACACACAAACATTCAAACATACACATGCATACTGTATATAACCACACACTCTCACGCACACACATGCATTGATAACCTCACACATATGCATATATAACCGCACACACTCACACATACAGAAACATATACATATGCATAGAACCACACACAGACACATATGCATGCATACATAACCACACACACACTCCACATATGCATATATAACCACACTCATACACATATGCATGTATAACCACACACACACACTCACATTTACATATATGCATATAACCACACACATACACACATTTTCATTTGCATATATAACGACACTCACACGTACACATATCCATATATAACCACACATATATGCATATATTCACATGCACAAATACGCGAGCGTAAACATGCATATATAAGCATACACACACGTCTACACAATAACCACACGCATGCACACAAATGCACATGCATACTTGTATAACCACACACACATACAGAGTCATATATGTGCATAGAGATATTTATATTTATGTATAAACGCACACACCTTTAACTATGTTTCCCATAGTGCTTTGCTCATGTGTGTGCATGTGCGTGTGTGAGCGAGTGTTGTAGATCTGCTTCAGCAGTAATATGAGTGTTTCCCCTTGTGTCCCCCTCAGCCGGAGAACCTGCTCTTGGCCAGTAAATGCAAGAATGCCGCCGTCAAGTTGGCAGATTTTGGTCTGGCCATCGAAGTACAGGGAGACCAGCAGGCCTGGTTCGGTATGCGAACACTGCAGACTCTGCTTTGCATCATTTCTTGATTAATTTGCAACCCAGGCTGACTGGAAACACATGCTTTAGCCTACCGTTTTACGAAATGTAAAATACTTTGCTTCGGGTCCATTTTGATGCACAGAAATTTTGATGAAATACATTACTTATTGTATGTTTCATATGACAAATCCATTAGAGGGCGCTGTACACATTTTGAATCTAAAATACGTCACTTAGGTTAAGTTTTATTGTACGTTTCAGATGACAAATCCACTAGAGGGCACTGTCTGGATTTTGAATCTGAAGTATGTTACTTAAGGTGTGTTTTGTTGTACGTTTCAGATGACAAATCCACTAGAGGGCGCCGTCTACATTTTTGTGAATCCAAAATATGTTACTTGGGTTTCGTTTCATTAACGTGTTAGTTTTTAGTTTACATTTTTGCAAAACGAAAAATATTATACTCCAGGTATGTGTTGTTTTACGTTTCAGATGACAGGTCCACTAGAGGGCGCTGTCTACATTTTTTGAGAGTCTGATATATGTTTCGGTTATGTTTTATTGTGCATTTCAGTTGATAAATCCTGCCGCCAAAAGCCGCCATCTACATTCTGAATATGAAATACATTACCTATGGTATGTTTTGTTGTATGTTTCATATGACAAATCCACTAGAGGGCGCTGTCTACATTTTGAATCTGAATTACGTCACTTAAGTTAAGTTTTACTGTTAGTTTCAGTTGACAAATCCACTAGAGGGCGCTGACTACATTTTTAATCTAAAATACGTCACTTAGGTTACGTTTTATTGTTAGTTTCAGTTGACAAATCCACTAGAGGGCGCTGACTACATTTTGAATCTGAATTACATCACTTAAGTTAAGTTTTACTGTTAGTTTCAGTTGACAAATCCACTAGAGGGCGCTGTCTACATTTTTAATCTGAATTACATCACTTAAGTTTTACTGTTAGTTTCAGTTGACAAATCCACTAGAGGGCGCTGACTACATTTTGAATCTGAATTACATCACTTAAGTTAAGTTTTACTGTTAGTTTCAGTTGACAAATCCACTAGAGGGCGCTGTCTACATTTTTAATCTGAAATAAGCCACTTAGGTTAAGTTTTATTGTTGGTTTCAGTTGGCAAATCCCCTAGAGGGCGCTGACTACATTTTGAACCTGAAATACGTCACTTAAGTTTTATTGTACGTTTCAGATGAGAAATCCACTGGAGGGCGCTGTTGACAGTCTTAATCTGGAAAAAAAGTTGCTTAGGTTATATTGTATTGTACGTTTCATTTGTTGTATTTATTTTATGTTTTTCAATGGACAACGGAAATAATTAATTATTAGTTATGTCCCTGCAAAGATAATTTATGTGATGTTCATTTGACCTAAAAATGGCACTCAAACATATGTTGAAGTACATTTTTGAAGGTCCTGAAAAGTGGCTGATGTAAGTATTTCCAATGAGCCTGTGTTATTAGTTTGCTTATTCCAAACACATGCTGATACACAGAGCTGGACAGTAATGGATTACTAATTTTTAATAACTGAATAGTTTTCTCTTTGCCATGATGACAGTACATAATATTTTTTTATTTAAAGGCTTAACTGGGTTAATTAGGCAAGGGGAATTGGGCAAGTCATTGTATAATGATGGTTTGTTCTGGTTTGTTTAGATTTGATATCGCTTAAGGGGGTTAATAATATTGGCCTTAAAATGTTTTTTAAAAATAAATAAAACAAAAGACTTTCTCCAGAAGAACAAATATTAGAGGAAATACTGTGAAAGATTTCCTGAATCTGTTCAACATCATTTGGGAAATATTTAAACATTCACAGTGGGGCGAATAATTCTGACTCTGACTGTAAATATTCACTGTACATATTGCTCATATTCATGAGAGTGTGTTCACTTTTGCGCGCAGGATTTGCTGGAACGCCGGGTTATCTTTCTCCAGAGGTGCTCCGGAAAGAAGCGTATGGGAAGCCGGTGGACATTTGGGCGTGTGGTGAGTTGTGTGTTTATCTCAGTTTGATGCGGAGAGATCTTCTCATGCCGCTTTCATGCTTCTCTGCAGCTTCTCTATTTTTCGCCCTTTCATTACTCACATCAGTAGGAGGAATGTGGCTGCAGTTCTGACTCACTTCAACCCAATGATTCATTAGAATCAGTGAACCAGAGTCATTCTCGATGTATACAACTTATACTGTGTATGCTCATTTACAGTTGTTACTTTTTATTCGGGCGGATCAAAACAGGGCACTATTTGCTAAATTGGTGCAAAATGTATGATTGGATATTTTATGAATAAGTCAAGATTAATCACAAACTTTTGTATTAAAACTGTGCAAAAAAAGTTTGTGAACTTATACCACATGGATGCAATTATTATGCACACCCGTAGCTATTTGAGCATGTACACGCAGCGGCCACTTTATTAGGTACACCTGTCCAACTGCTCGTTAACGCACATTTCTAATCAGCCAATCATA